TTTTTTTTTTTTTTTTAAGAAATCAGTTTTGTTCTAAACCCTGATTCAAAGAGACTTTTTTTCTAAGTTGAACACTTGAATAGAGCTGACCATACTCCATCATGGCTAAATATGGAATACCATCTTTTGAATGGAAGGAAAGTCATTGGGCATAAACATAGAGATCTTGATTTAGAGTGTGACATACTCAAGGGCTCTCCCTGGTGGCACAATGGGTTGAAGTGTAGCACTATGAAGTTAGTTATACAACTCCCTCAGCATGAGTTTGATCCCTGGGCAGGGGACCTGACCCACATGGTGCAGCAGACCTCACCTGTCTCACCCACTGCTCCCCTCAGCAGTGTACTTCATCAATTCCGTTCTGCTCCCCACTCTGTCTCTGGTGAATCCTCTTACTGTTCCTGTACCTTTGGCCTATACCCCCATTCTGTATGCATAAATAAATAAATCTTTAAAAAAAAGTGTAACATATTCTAAGAGGTCTTTGATTACCAACAATCTTCAAGTAGTTGCTTTAAGATTCTCTCTCTATGACCAGCTAGTTTTCAGATCAATAGACTGCAAAAATATAGTGTATTCAGTTTGGTCTATTTGGATAACTGATATCTGGAGGTTGTTGCTAATATTTTAAATTATAACAAGGTTCTTGCTGGTGTAACAGCTGGTGGATTTGGTAAAGTAACTTTGCAAACTGCTTCTATTTCCTAATTTATACTCTTCAAAGGAGAGTGTATTCTCCCCCATCACCAAACTAAAACTGTTGTTTGCAATGACCAGATCCACTTCAGACACATCTAAAATAGTGTTGCTGAAGCAAATGGGGCTGAAGCCCACAGGCCAGTGCTGGGCACCCCTTGCTGTCCTGCCCACTAAAGATTCTAGGACACGTACAAGAATCACCAAATATTTCTAGTCTCCAAAAGGAATCTCATGAAGATAGTGGGATAATGCTGGGGGTGGAGGGAAGTATGAATTAATGCAAAAGTATCATTTATAAAATTTGACAGAGAGCATCTACTATCCTCTATTAGGTGATTATCATTGCTATTTGGGAGAATTCCTCAAAACAATTACCAAGTGGGTATAGGTTTATTATCTCCAGGTACACTGTTTCAGATATAAATAGGTAAAGTTCCAGGAAGAAAGGAGCAATGATAAGTGTTGGGGTTGGAGTGACGTACAGAGAGAGAGAACAACCTTTAAGTCTTTTCCTTCTACAAAGTAAAATAGGGCCTTCCTTGTGGCACAGTAGCTAAGTTGCAGTACTAAGAAGCTATCTGCAGCCACTGCAGCACAGTTCAATCTCCAGCCAGGGAGGGGACCCACGTGGTTTAGCAGACCTCTCCTGTCCCGCACATTGCTCCCCTCAGCAGTGTATTTCGTTTGATCTGCCTGTTCAATTCCCCACTCTGTCTCTGGTAAATCCTCTCACTCCCTGTACCTCTGGCATGTACCCTGGTTCTTGTATATATAAATAAGTAAATAAATAAATCTCAAAAAGCAAAATAAATATCAACCTTCCCCATTCAAGTCACAAACTTTTCTTAGAATAATGATTTGATTTGATTTTTTAAAAGATTTTATTTACTTATGCATACAAGAACTAGAGTCTAGGCCTGAGGCGAGTGGTAGGAGGGTGGTGAGAGGGATTCACCAGAGACAAGAGTGGGGAATAGAACAGGTGGATCTACTGAAATATACTGCTGACAGGAGCAGTGGTCTGCTGCGCTATGTGGGTCACTTCCCCATCTGGGGATCGAACTCATGCGGAAGCGGCTTTAGATTCTCAGTGCTGTGCTTTAACCCGCTGCGCCACCAGGGAGGGCCCTGTAGGCTAACTTTTAATGGCCACTTGATTAGTTCTGTAAGGTATGAAATTTGAAAGGTTAAAGTTATATATCAGATCATTATCATTCCTAAATACTGAGAACAAGCAGCAGAAGTCAGCCCTCAAGTTCTTTACTTGATGACCCTGCCAGTTCTCTAGGGTAATTATGAAGCAGCATGAAATGATACTATATCTATGAAAGAGAGAATACCTGACATACAGTAAGTGCTCAGAAAGTGTAAACTATCAGCAGCAGCAGCTAAATCACAAATTATCTGGTATGTGGATCTCCACACGCAGTAAATGGGAAGAAAAGAGAAAATGAACACTTAACTGAGTTTTCACTAGGGGTCACCTGAAAGGACTTTTTCCTCTTTGGACTCCCTTTATCCTCACAACTTTGCAAGAATACTACAGGGGACCATGCCCGGTCCTGTCAAGTAAGAGCCTATGTTACTCTCCACAGATTTGACTGATGTTTCAGACCAATATATTTTTTAAAGATTTATTTATGCATACAGAACTGGGGTACAGGCCAGAGGTAGAGAGAGGTAAGAGGGCACCAGAAACAGAGTGGGGAGCAGAGTAGGCAGATGGATGAAGTACACTGCTGAGGGGAGCAGCGGGTGAGACAAGAGAGGTCTGCCGCACCATGTGGGTCAAACTCACACTGAAGTGGCTGTGGCCAGCTTGCAGTGCTGTATCCCTGCCCGGTGCGCCACCAGGGAGAGCCCAGACCAATATTTTCCTGTGAACCAATCACATCAAGTACAGTACTAAAAAAGTCCACATATACATGCTTCAGTTCCACAGGGCTATTCATTTACCACCTAATTAAGTTGATTCCAGAGGGCAGGGCACATAAATTTTAACATGAAATTGACTTGTTTATGTATTGGTAAATCCTCAGGGAAGAAAAATCTTCACAAGGGAGTTAGAGATTTTTTGCCCTATAAAGGAAGGGTCATGCACAGACTTCTTGCTCTGGAAAAAATGATAAGGTATGGCGCTGGTTGAATTTAAAATCAGGTACTTGGTTGACACAAAAATGTCTAAAGCTGTCCAGCAGGTGAAAAATATGCAATGATAATAGAATTCTAAGTGTGAAGAGCCTAGCAAGGGAAATATTTAGGGTCAGGACATTGCCCCAGACCTTTAAAAAGATACCACACATCCTACTTTACAGCCAACTCTCTATTTCTTGGCCTATTCATGAATCATAAGTCATATGTTTTTTTTCTCTGTATTTATTTGACTCTGTGAAGTTTAAGGGAGGACAGAACCTTTTCTCCTAAGTAACAGGCAACTGTGTATTTTGGGCTAGAAGTTTTCTTACAATTGTGAAGTATTTAGGTGTTTAATTGGTCCTGCTTTCATATAAACCTATTGTGGCGTGTACACAGGAAATAGTTCATTCTTAGTTTCTGTGAACTTTCTTTCCAGTCTTCCCCTCACTTGAATCCTCACAAAAATCTTCCAAGTAACAGACACTCTAAGTCTCTGGTTTCTTTCAAATCTCCATTCCTCTCCTGATTTTGCATTTTGCCTACAGTAGGTACTATAAATCTGTTATGTTCTGAATATTTCAGAAATGAAACATTAAAAAATACAGCTTTTAGGGCCTTCCCTGGTGGTATAGTGGGTTAAAGCACTGAGAGGCTAAAGCCACTTCAGCATGAGTTTGATCCCTGCCCACCCCAGAGGTGAGGTGATCCACATGTCCAGGCAGACCTCTCCTGCTCACTGCTCCCCTCAGCAGTGTACTTCACCAGTTGGCTTGTTCTGCTCCCCACTCTGTCTCTGGTGAATCCTCTCACTGCCCCTGCACCTCTTGCCTGTACCCCAACTCTGTATACATAAATAAATAAATCTTTAAAAAAAATACTGCTTTTAATTTTCAAAAAAATATTCTGATTCAGTTTTCTAGAAGGAAAACCAATTAGGAATTAGAAGCATTTAGGAATGGTGACTCTAAGCAAGGGATCATAGAGTAGGGTCTATCAAGTCATTAAATAAATGTTACTACAAAACTAAAAGTCAATTAGCAAGTTTACCAGAATTCTGGAAATCCGTGAAGCAGCAGCATGAGTGGTTTGCCTCTTTCTCCAGCAGCGACATAGTGAAATCTTAATCCTGAATCCTACAGTAAAAAAGAGGGGGTATGAAATTTTAGTGGTGTTTTGTGTTGATTTCAAAGTAGTCAGTTGGTATTGCCACTTCATTTTTAAAAACCTCTTATTTGTAATATGAAGAAATTAAATATTATTAAATTTCAAAAAGAAGAAACTCATGTGTTAGCCTAGAGTAAGTTAACAGATTCACTTTTCTCTATGTTTCCTTCCCAGTACCATCCCTTCTTGTTCCTTAAAAGGTCAGTGTATATATTATGAGCTTCTGAAATAATGTCACTATTTGTGACTTTCACTTTACTGATGTGTCTCATCTCATCTCATTCAGATACTACCGGACATATAAATAATTCTGATCTAAACTTATATTCCTACCATGTTTACCTCCTCGTCATGTACTTTTCTCAGCTTAGCCCATCAAGAGCTATGCCATCAGTTATATAATTCACACCTCCTTTCCTTATTTTTAGGTGTCTCCTTCCCACATTATTATTTTAAGTTGAGAGTTGCGTGTGCTGTTCCCTGCTGCCCGCTCCTCCATCATCCCAATGTATTCCTCGTAGCAGAATGCTCTTTTGTGCTCAAGACTTCACTTGCATGTGGGAGACAGGACTGTCTAAGAGAAATAAAAGCATGGGATTCAGACAGAAGCATAATCAACACAAAGCAAACTGAAGAAAGAAAATAGGAGGAAAAAAACCCTTAAAAACAAGCAAGAAAAAAAAAAAAGCTAAGCACAGAGTTTTATATCCAGTAACTCAAGCAAGTGGGTTTTCAGATATGAAAAAAACCTTACAGGCATCTAATTCAACCCCATAATTTTTGAAGATCTGGACACCTAGACCCTGGGGTTCTCTGCAATGGTTTAAAATAAGTCATATGGAGTTTTGGAAGGAAGACTGACTATATCCCCAGGCTGGCACTAAGTTCTTTCCACTTCTTGTTTCTGAATCTGTGAACAACCCTTTTGCTGGGCAGTCAGGAAGCTTTATAAGGAATTCTGGATGATGCTTCCACTGCTTTCTCATGCTGGATGCAGATAATAAGCCTGGCTTTGCCCTCAAATGTAGAATGCCTTTCTGTCCAGTGCAATGACTTCTTTTGTTGATGGTGCATCTGGGAAGATGAAATGCTGGGGGCACTTGATTCTTTAGCTAACAAATACTTGGCTGCATATGTTACAATAGTCCAAGGTTTTTGTTCTTATTTTTACAAACGTGAGCTCATTTATTTCTCATATCAAAGCCAGGCTGAAATGTAAAAAGTGCCCCTTGGTCTTCTGAACTCCAGCTATTGGAGACTCTAGCTAACAGAACGGGACTTGGTGACATAAATATCCCCTCCTGTGACACTAGTTTTGTAAGGCCTGTGAGTCAGACTGCAGGGTGCATCACTGGGGCCATTTCCCTTCACCACCTGGAGTCTCGGGAAATAGAATTTCCGTGGGCTGTGAGGAGGCTGGGCGCAAGCACGGACCATCAGGGAGTCAACGTGCACGGCTGACATTTACTTTGGTGCCCATTCCTTCGTTTTCTGACTTCTGAGCTGGTGTCTTCCCCACAAACCATTTTATCTTATTTTATTCCTGTTGCTTAGGTATTCAATGAATGTCCCATTCTACTGATCTGAATAAACTCCTGATTGCCAATGACTTATTCTATTCACTCTTTCAAGCTCTAAAATTTGGCTAAGGAGGCTCCTGAGACATTAGAGGCCACTAGAAACAATTCCCTAAGCTGATCTGAGTTGTAAAGGGCAAAAAGGTGAAAAGGTGACAGGAGACAGCTTCCCCTTAAAGTAGAAAGGGAGCAGAATTATTTTGCCTTGTTGGGGTTCAGAAGAAGGGAATAGTAAAATAAGAGAACCCTGACTAGAGAAACTCCACATAATCTATTATCATTCTCTCCACCACCACCGCCCCCCCTCCCCCGCCCCCAGTAACATAATACAAACACACATACACAGTCCGACCCTTCTCCCGCCACACCTTGCCTCCTGCCCCCCCACGGCATCTCCCCAGCCAAGCCGCGCGCCCTCTGAGCCCCGGGAACATTAGGGGACGCTGGGCCAAACGTCACGGAAGGAACAGCCCGGCGCCCTCCGCTCTCCGGGCCGTCAGGTCCCCCCCAGTACAGCCGGGCCCGCGCCGGCCTTCACCTTGATCCGCACGTAGCAGTGGGTACCCAACGAAGGGTCGTTCAGGCACGCGGGGGGCTGCTCCCGGGCGACCCGCCGGAAGGTCTGCGCGGGTGCCCTGCCGATGCTCCACAAAAGTTTGAGCAGGTAGATGGACGCGCAGAGCCCGCAGTAGCAGTAGACCAGGGACCAGAAGAGTAGGGAGCGGATCGTGACCGCCAGGCGGGGCAGGCAGTCCCGCAGCCTCGCCATCCGGCGGCAGCGGCAGCGGCAGCGGCGGCG